CAATCTTTGTTTTATATTGAACTTGATGAGAAGTTTCCTATTTCCATTTTAGCCTTGAGTCTATCACTTAGGATCTTTCATTTTACATTGTCTGGCGGACAAATGACAGATACTCAACAGATAAAAATTATGACATGATGTTTGTTATTTGAAATTATTTGTTATTCATAATTATATACCATGGGAAATAAATTTACCTGTTTATTAATTCCTACCAACAGCAAATGAGTGTTTTTGGAATAACAAAAATATCTACTTGTTTCATTATCAATTCTATAAATAATTGTTTATTCAGTGTACAAACAATTGAGAAATTATGATGTTGATTATAAAAAAAAATCATTTAGGTTTAAGTTTTAAAACTTATTTTATATTTAATTGATTTAATCATTTTTATTTTATATGTTTATCTATTTTTTAATTCAAAAAGATAAATTCATAAATTGATGTTTTACTCACAATTTAATTCTTATGTGTATTATAAAATTAAATGATTTAAAGTAAATATTGTATTCATCTTGTATAAATATTCTAAATATTGTAAATTATTTAATCAAAGTACAAATGATGAGAAATTATGATGTTGATGTAAACAAGTTTAATTTATTTTTAAAGTTTTTTAGCTTTTTATTCTTTATTTATTTGATTTGATCATTTTTCTTTTAATTCAATTAAAAGAATATCAATAGAAGAAGTTTTGCAATTTGATTCTTATGTATGTTATAAAATTGAATGATTTAAAGTAAATACTATACTCATCTTATATAAATATTATAAATATAGTTTGTTTATTTAAAATATATGACAGGATGATAGAAATCATAAAGCTAAATCACTCATGTTATTGCAAATAACAGAAACAACAACATTTAGAGATTTGCCAGGAGACAATTAGTCTCATCTTTGTTCTATTGACCTTGGCTGTTGCAAACCATCCCCCTGTTTTCTTGAAACTATAAGTCATATTTTACACTTAAATTCTTGAGTGCTTTTTACATGTCAAGCTCTTGAAGTTGTTATGACTGATCTAACAGAAAACCCTAGTGGACAGGTTTAAACTTAGAGGTTCTTTGAGTTCACTTAAGATACAAATTCAAGTATTACTTTCTAACCGTCATTCTGCTTCATTGAAAATCAAAAAAATATTTTCATTTTCAAACATGGATGGAAAACAAGTTAGCAGAATCATTATATTGGGTAACAAAAGTCTTAAAAATAAAGTAAGAGTTTATACAGAATTATTGTAAAATAATATGTAAATGTATGTTCTTTGTTGAAATTCAACACAATTTCAACAAAGTAATTTGGTTTAGAACCTTTTGGACATAGTAGTTGTTGCAGTGTGGCATATACTGGACAGTGGCAGATCCAGGAAATCGAATTAGAGACCATCTCCACACCACCATGGTTGCAGCTGAGATGATAAAATTTATGATTATGGCACCTTTAGATGGCTGGAAATGGCACTCTTAGACTTAAATTTGGATACTTTTGTAGGGGCCCCAAGCTGCTTGAGCTCCTCTCGAATCCACCACTGCTGGAAGGCAATGGCTTAACATCCCTTCCGAAGAATGTGGAAATTATAGGAAAGTGCCCTACGCAGGACACAAAAACTCTAAAGTTTACAGTCATTAAAAGACCTCTCATAGGGTAATGAGCATTTTTTCTGACCATCTATTAAGCAAAATTTACTGGGGAGGGCTTCCGAGCACTCTTCCTGTTCCGTCTTTCTCCGGGTAAAGCATTAAAGGTCCCTTTTCCATTCCAAAACCGGGACCTGCTCCTTAGGATAATACACTCTGTAGGTGCCTTGTTATTATAATTTCATGTATTTCAAACTGTAGTATGACAGCAGAGTATTATCAATGTTTTACAATGTTTTTACATACTGCACTTTCATTACTGTATTAAAGCTCAACATAATCTTCGCTAGTTAGTCTAATCTATACCTCCATGGTCTAATTCACGTTGGCATTCTGTTCCTATCATCACTAATCTCTGTGTATTGTTTTGCCAATTATTCTCTAAGCTTTTTCTACTTATTATCTTTCATTTAAGTTGACAAAGTCCCAAGGACATGTTACATATATCCATAATTGAAAGTGTTCTTATAGACTTTAATATACTTAAATTGTAGTTGTTTGCTTTCGTATGATCGGATAAGGAGAGCAAGAGACCTTGTTTCATTGCTGATGTGGCGTCTAAAAGCTGTGACTTAGTTTTTACAGTGTCGTTGACCTTAATGTTATTTTTTTTTACTTTAGTATCTAATACTACCGCATTATCGCTTTTGCAGTGTGTATCTTTTGAAATTGAGCCTTGGATAACAATTCGTCGCTCACATCACATACAGTTCGTGAAAACAAAAAAGCGCGTCAAAATAAGTGTGTATTTGTTGTCATGCAACTTTTTATTTTTTACCAACTAAAAATTCTGTAACCACAACAGCGTGTATTTTAACACACTTTTTTGTTTTCATGAACTAGGTACAATCTACTTTCATTGTGTTAGTTTGTGATGTGAGCGACGAATTCATTGGCTACGTGTCAAGAGTTTATAAATAAAAATGTAGGTCTATTTTAAAAAATAACGGTAATAGAACATACAGTAACTCAAAAAAGTCCAACACGTCGTTATAGATTACAATAAACAATTATAATAGTTTTGTTCAGCAGAATACTCATAAAGGCCAGTGGTAAAATAAATATCACGTTTCTTTTCACTGCCTACCTCATTTTTTTTTTACTGCTGCTACAATTTGTTTACTTTCTTTCCCCAGCATTACGATCCTTTTTGAATGGTAGTCACTGAAATAGTAAATTAACAATAGTTGTAATTTTGGTTTCAGTCAAGCATAAAAACTTGATCTGGTAAAAGCTAAACAACCTAAAAAAGTTCTTAATTTTTGAAAAAAGTTTGGCCTTATAATCATATTGCTAAGTTTTACTCAGAATTACATATTGAGCTTTTTTGTATTCATATTCTATTTCTTTGGACATTTTTGCAAAATTTGAAATAAATCTTGAAAATTGGAAATAAATTATTGATTGAGTATTTGGTTAGTTGATATTTTATACTCTGTTTATAGAATAATTGTCTTTAGTCTCATTGGGATGAAAAGAGTAAAGAACAGAACTCTAAAGTATTTTAAGAAGTTCGCTGCCAGCGACGAGTATACTCGTCCCACGGGGTGTTGCTGAGGGCGCTAGGAACAACTATACTCGTCAAAACCTAGGTAACATGCTAGTGTTTATTACATTGTTATACATTGTACAATCACAGACTTACAGGCTGATAATTCGGGGAATATACACCTAGAGGATAACATACAAATGATATGTATGTTTGTTGTGTTAAGTTCTCAGCAGTACACTCATTTGCAGTACACTCAGTGGGAGCGCCCTCTGATCGTATACCAAAGCATGCAAATACTTGCACTTGGCCGTGGCAGTAAAAAGTACTGTCCCATTGCCTATCCGCCAGTTTATCAGACATACCATTTTGATGATATGACTACATAAATTTTCAAAAAAGTATGTTTGTACATGTGTACTGTACTTGTTTTAGCACACAGGAAGGAACCTAAAAATATGGTCTGGCAGTCAACGTGGTAATGTAACTATAAAGTCTCCCAGAGTAATTTCACTTCCTTACCCTACCTCTATTCGATTTCCACCACCTCTCATCCACAATGGTACTCTGCTCCCACCACCACTCTCTATCATGTTACTTATAACCAAATTAGTTTTGTGTACATTAATACATAATACAAATATCTATGTGGACAGTATAGTATCTATTACCCTCTGCTGCAGGTAGCTACCATGACTTGTCACATTTTTCTCTCCCCTGTGCCATTCTCGCACACCCCACCACTTTACTGTGATTTTTGCCTGTTCTTGGTTTCCATTAAATTCTTTTTCACCATAATATCATCTTCTAATAGAGAGTCTCCCAGACATCAGCACGGTATACCATACTTGCAGAAGTCTTAGCAGTGAGACAGAACCCAGCACGGTCTGATGCTCTTGCAAGCGAGCACAAATTTCCTGCAAACTAACACATCTGCCAAAAATTACTACTGTGTGTTTCCATTTTTCAACTACTAGGGTCAGCTGGCCACAGGTGTCATAATCCACAGCAAAATTCAATAGCATGCGTGATGTGTTGAAATACCACATTCAACATAACCTCTCTGAAGAGGTTTCATTTAGGCCCTCTGTATAAATTATAACAAGCCCCTCAGGACTTCATGAGGGTTCCTTTTTGTCTTGATTTTTTTGTCCGTTAATGTATATACATATTGACAATTCAAATCATAATTGTTAAATAATAGTGTTTGTAATCTCAGAAAATGTAATTTACCAATCTTTTTTATTTTGTATAATAAAAGTGAGTGGTGGCGCAAGAGTTGGTGGGGGGTGGGGTGGCTGAGGGTGCTATAGACCCCTCGTCGGGGAAGGCTAGCTCCCCTGTCGGTGAAGACGAGTACATTCCATCGGGGAATTAAAAAAATTTTAAAAATATTTTTACATGTCTGGATCCGTTGTTGTTTAATAGGACTAATTAAAAAGGGTTTACGTTCTACTATGACAAATGCTTGCTTGAAAATAAGTTAGTTGGTTAATTGCATACTCTTTGTTTCATTTTTTTATTCAAAAATTTTCGGTTTTGGAAGTTAATTTTAACATTAAGAATCATACATGAAGTCATATTACGGTAGCTTGATGCCAATCAAATAACTAATAAAAATTCACCAAAATTTGTCAAATATCCATAGCTTCTAGTGGGTCGGTGACCCTAGGCGGCTGCCCCCTCCCCCAGCCAAGTAATTCTAGCTTCGCTCGCCTAGCCCCCCCCCCCCCCCCACCACCGTTGGGCCTTTAGCCCCCTGTTGGGCAGATCCTGGCGCCATCGCTTATAATAAGTGTGTGCTTTTTTGTTTCATTCATACTTATGTTTTCCATGTATTTCTAAGAATAAAAATTTTATTTTTACAGGGATTCAGTGAAGATATATCACAAGTGCAACTCACCTGTTCTGTGCTTGTGTAAACATAAAGACGGCGTCTTAGTCGGCTGTGGTAAGTAATGACGTATACGTAAAGGCAATTTGTCTGTATTTATAGAATTAGTATCCACGCTTTGGCTAAATTGTAAGGTTTTTGCCTCTAAAGTCGTTGACCCCATTTAAAACAGATCTTCAAATTATACCCTTCCGTAGGTTTTGAAGTTTAGAAGGATAATGGCTACACTTGAGTCACATGTGAAAGCATGAAGGTATCCACAATTTAAGGTTTGACAGTCGGTGGGAGAGAAAACAATGACCTGAATATACAATGTGCAATATGCATGCCCACAACTTTGTATTTACAAAAATGTAAAAAAAAAACACCATATTTTAGCACCCTCGCAGCAATTTATTAACATTGCATTTCTTTCTGATTGTCAACATCTTCGCATTGAACAGGTCACGCCAGATAAAGGGTCACATTTGATGGCGCAATCCTAGCAAGACAGCTAGTTTGAAACACCCAACGCGACTGCAGTTTCACACCATGTGGGAGCTCAAGCTGCACAGTTTATAGCTAACACGATGTGATTTGCACTTTTGGCTTAAGTAATAGTAACAGTAATGTAGGCTGTTCTATATCACTCTATACAACTAAGTCTCATAGGGCTTTACCACGTTATTACTCCAGTCATTGGAACGATGCCTATGGGGGAAATTCTATAGTGTTCTGCATGAATATATCAGCGCATTTTTGCACTTGAATTTCCTCAGGCACCCATTTATACTCCTGTGTGGAGAGAAGCAATGAAGATAAAGGGGCTTGCTTGAGAACACAAACAAAATGCACAGCGAGGGATTGAAACCCTACAGTGACGTATCTAGGTGGTGCATGGGAGGGGGGTGCATTTCCCTCCAAAAATTGCTCATATGCCCCCCCTCCCACAAGAAAATCACTTGCAAGTTAAAAATCACCTTATTTTGTGAGTTAGCACCCCTCACAATTGATCTTCGAGCCCCCCCCCCACTTTACCTTTGCACCCCCCATCAGCACTCCCCTTTTAAGACTTCTACATATGCCACTTAACCCCTGACCTCGAGGTTGGGAAATCAAACCGTTCCCGCTGTGCCGAATGAGCTACTGTAGGAGACTATCCATTACGTGTCAGTTTATGCTGCACTGGGGCTGCTGTGGGCCTAGCCAATATTTAAGTTTCAATTTGATAGACGACCAGAAAGAGATACATTATTTTATATTGTCACCTATAGAGAACATTCAGTATTGTAGTCAATTAAATGCAAATGTGGCTATATATTCGGCAACAACCAATCAAACATAGGGAGTTCAGGATGTTTTATGAAAAATTATTTATTAGAAATTATTTTATTTGATTGCAGAACTATGGCATTTTGACTGGTTGTTCCCACATTTTTAAGTCTTTTTCTATAACATTCATAAAAAATTAAGACTCAGAAGTACATGGGGACTTTTAGTAATAATTGTAAACAATCCTGTATGATCTTATGTACAAAATTTGAAAAATATTTAAAAATTATTATTTAATATAGAATAAAATTCATTGTAATTTAATTACATTGAGAATAAGAAATTAATATACTATTACAAAAAAAATGCATAGATGAGTGGGTTTACTCAGTTGCATTTTGAAAAATTTAATTCTCATCCAATTGCGAGTCATTATAAGATTAAATGATCGAAGTTCAATGAACATCAGTGTAGTATGACCTAAATCTAGCTATTGGCAGGGGATTTATTGCCGTCAAAAACTAAACCCACACATTTACAGATATTCATGTTAACTGGAACAGACCTGGATTTATAGCATTATTGCATGTGATGGGGGCCAGCAGAATATTCTTTCATTGTTACATTTGATTTTATGCTGTTAGTTCACGATTTAGGGAATGGATGAACCTATTTATTTATTTTTTTTTTACAAATTATTCAGTAAAAATCTAGAGCAGTCATTCCATAAAGTGCATATAGCTGCCCTAGCCTGAATACCGGACAAATACGCAGGTCATGTATGATGGCCGATTCCATTAACTTCTGCCCTGTGCATGAATACCGAACAGTACGCATTAAGTGTATGATGTGTCATTGCATTATTTTCTTTTGTGCTCAGAATAAAAAATTTATTCCTTTTGGAAAATCAAAAAAAGGAGAAAGAAAAAGAAAAAAATTATCGCCCAAAACGCCTTAGAGGTTATTTTCGGGAGTCTAAAACACAAAAAGTCTCTCCTGGACCCCCTAGCAAAGTGTTGCCTGTGGGCTATAAGACGATTACGTATTTATGTAACATGTTTGACAGTAGGAAAGATGTTTGAAAGAATGCCATAAAAGCTTTAAAAGTTTCCAAACCTAGTCATGTATAAATCTAGAAAGATCAGTTTAAAACTTTCAACTACAGTAAAAGTGCAGTCACATTTTATAAAGTCTATTTTGTATGAAGTTTAATAGCAAATGTTCATTAAGTTCAATGATTTTAAAATCCTTGGTAGGTAACAGGAAATGTTGGCAATAAATAACATTGAACCTAAAGTTTTGAGTCATTCAAAGTTATGACCATTAGTACCCATTGTATGTAAATTTGAATTTTTTTATTTTTTTTATTTTTAATTTATTAACTATTGTAAGTTTAAATTGATTTTTTTAAATACTTATAAGCATTTAATTGTTAATTGATTTGTGCCTCAAATTGCCAGTAAACAGTGCGGTGATGTGTGTGGTGTTTCTTTTCTGGTAGCTTTAAGGTTTAAGTAGTTTTTGGTTCCTTCCTTCTATAGCGCTTTGAACACTACTGCAGTGAATGTGTGTGCTTTATATATCTGTTTATTATAACATTTGGTTTAATTTTAATTCTGCATGTCTGTTGTTTATTTTTGTGATTTTTGTTGCATTGTGACTTGATAGTTGCTATCTTGCAAGAGTACATGATATGGTGATGCCTATAGGTTTATTTATTTACTTTTTAAACATTTTAGTCTTAAATAATGTAGATCATCATTGTTTTAATAATATAATTTAAAAAAAACATTTTTGGTGTAAATTACAGTAACTGTATGTAAATATTTTATTGTTTGAATATAATCTTATTAAACCTTGTAAGAAAAATTTATATTGTCAAAAATATATTTGTAATCAGAGTGTTGTGTGTTGTTGTGTTAGTGTTTCTGGACCCTCTGGGAGAACAGTAACTTTTTACTGAAGAGGTAACCCAGTATAAAGAATAAATAAATAAATAAATAAATAATACTGCAATGAAAAGGAATTAGGGTGGTTTTTAGCAATGAGCAAACTCCTGGATTTACTTAGGATTAACAAGTATTAAAAAATCACAACCCCAAAATTGGAAAACATGACACCAAGCCACATTTTTTCTAAATTGTAGTAGCAGTAATAATTTCCAAGGCTAGTACCTACCTGCTTTTCTGAAGGCAATATAGTCGAATGTACACAACTGCACTTTCTTCTCTTTATTTCTCTTCAAATTTCCAACCGACTTTTATGACTCGCAAACAGAAGTTGACTCCGGAAGACATTAAGCAGCTTTCGATTTGGACGACGAGTACCTACCTGCTTTTCTGAAGGCAATATAGTCGAGCGTACACAACTGCGTTGCCCTTTTCGAAAGCTTACTATTAAAAAGATGAGGGCGTCAGACAGACAAGATTGGAGGAATATGTTCGTTGCCTGCACTTAACCATGGTGATACTTTCAGACCTGTTGCCTTGGTTCAATTAGATGGCTACTCTCATTCTATTGCAGCTGAAATGCTAGTTATAGTACATAGTGTGTTGTCTTTCGCATGAGGCATTTAAGGTGTTGCCTTGTATATCCGTAATGTGCTTTTTAAAGAACGCAGTAAACTTTTTAGAGGAGTATTGGATTGACTCCCAAAATGTACTGCCCAATTCAATACGGGAGTACTGACCCCACTGATAATAAGTCTTTTGACTTTCATGGTTTATAATAATAAATAATAATAATAATAATATTTTTACTTGAAATGGAAAGCTTGATCACTTGTGCAGGTGTTTTTAACAAAGCCATTTTAGAGCTTCAAAGAATGCATTGGTTATTCGTAAATGTTTCATATTGTAGATGTACAGCAAAGATTCAGTAATAACACAGTAAAGGGCCCCATCACTCAAAAGTGATTGCTTTTCAACCTTCATATCAGAGATCTTTAACTAAAGATAGCACGTCTGCGTGCAAATTCTATAACAACCATGGTAACAACCACGGCGCCCTCTCTCAAAAGTGATTACTTTTTATGCTTCTTTTTACTGAACAACGACACTTCTACTTGTTACGTGTAGAATGGCAAAGAGCGCTATCTTGTAATTATAAGATCTTTGATATGAAGACACATATTAATAAATAAACAACATTTATCTATTATGTCAGTGACTGATAATGAAATACATCAAGAATGAATGTACTCCACTTTCGTAAATGCACTTTCCAAGTGCGTTCAACCTGATTCAATTTAGTCTGCATCTTTCAATTCTCCTTCCGTTCTAAGTTGTTGAATCCTTTGTTGTGCCAAAGCTACTTGATTGTGATTGACTTGGGAATGGTATATTAATTTTTATGTATAAGTAATTATTTGTTTTATTTCAGTCACATTGTATGTATCATATTTGAACTGGCCTACATAAGACAGGCTAGAAATTAATGAATAAGAGCAGGATTCTCAATCTATGTATGATGCTTTGGCGACTGATCTTCTGCATAAGACGCTAACAAATTGAATTAATGATGATAACAATAGAATATTGAAAGGTTGTTTTTTTTTTTTTTTTAAGATCCAACAGCATGTAAACTCACAAATTACCGGTTGATGAAATATGCTCTATAAAAATTAAGTCTTAATGTTTGAAGTTGTCCTATTGGTCGTAAGAAAAATAAACAATATTTTAGAAGAAATTATAATTTTGGACTCTACTCGATTGTGGGATAATCTATTTTTTGATAGGACTGATTGGACTCGGAACTGATTGAACCAGGACCATGTAAGTATCAATTTAAGTAACCACTCGGCTCTCAGAAATATACATTCTGTGTAGATTTCATTTTCCTGAAGTTTTGTAGGCTTGTCCAATTGCTTAATAGCCCTGTACTAACAAGTGTTGGTCAAAGCTACTCAAACATATCTTGAAATCATCAAGATAGATATTATTAAATAACGGTACTGATAATTCATGTTGTTTTAAACTGTAAAAACCACAATAATTATGTAATTGAATTTAAGGTTCCGGTGTTAACTTCATATCTGAAACTTTAGCCGGGCGCTTTCGGTGCCCCTGACGCAATTTTATGTTGAACGCAACGGATCGTTTTTAATGACGATCCGTTCTGACCGCCAGCGATAATCAGCAGACAGCACCGCATCATCTAGCGCTCGCAAGGAGCAGAGTTGGATTTGCGAGTACGCAGTAAGTGCCCATCTTAAAGTCCAGTACCTCAGTATGTGAGCATAGTGCCAGCGTACCACCATTGCATAGCTTCAGGGGCGGATTGCTATAAGCGGTCTTTAGACGGCTTTAACGGTTTGCCGGCTATAATCGTGACGTCCCTACTGGTCTATGATTATATACCATTGCTATACTGCGGTCTAACCAGTTAGCCGTCTTAAATTTTAAAGCCTACTCGGAGGAGGCTTAAAACAGTCTTAAATCATTTTCATCATGGCGTTCTGCTGATTAATCTAGCAGTGCAATGGCAAGACCTAGGCCTAGATCATCAAAGTTGGAGAATCGAACGATGAATACTCTCAGCGTCTCTAAAAATAGGTCTACGGCATTTATTTACGTTCATTTTGATACATTTGCGTGCGTTGAGCACGCATGACGTTGCCCTCAATCTTAGTTACCAGGGAGTACTTGTTTGCGTTTCAATACCCAACGCGGTCTTAGGGAAGACTGTTTTATAGCAGTGGTCTTTATAGAGGAATGACTTTAGTAAGACCGTCTAAGTGATAAAGCCGGCTTTATTCGAGGAGTTAAGACTACCAGTTAAGACCGTTTTATAGCAATCTGCCCCTGAACTTGAATCCTATATTCTGAGACTTTAGTTCATATTTTTATATTATCTTTATTTCTTTAGGCACACACACATGCGCAAGTATTTCCAATAGCGAGTATATCACTGTCCTTCTTGGAAACCTTACAACCAAAATGATGATGAATGTGAATATATCACATTCATTTTAGTTGTTCGTGCGAAAAAAAAAAAATCCTATTTCAATCTTGCTAGGTCCCACACCCAAGATTTTAGCTTCTTCATGCCTAGAGAAATCCTATTTCAATCTTGCTAGGTCCCACACCCAAGAGTTTAGCTTGTTCGTGCTAAGAGAAATCCTATTTCGATCTTGCGAGGTCCCACGCCTAAGAGTTTATCGTGAGACGTTTATCGTGAGACTTTTGAATTTCTCCTGTTTTGTTGAAAATCATACAGATTACTGCTATAATCAATGATGATGAAAATACTGTTGATGTACTTCCTCCAAATCTAAAGTTAAATTTTATTTTGAACATATTTTTTGTACTTACAAATTGATCAATAATTTGCACAAAAGGTCAATACACTTTCATAGATATAAATGAGAATCAAAAGGATTCTAAAGATTGATCATAATATTCGTTAAATGATTTTTTGAAAGGTTGTGAACTTTCTATTAAGTTGTTAGCAGCTCTGTTCTGTAGTACATTGCATTTGCACATAAAACAATTAAATGGAGGGTTCACACTAAGCAATCACCAAGTGGGACTGCTATAGCTTCATATTTAGACATGGTACTCGATCAAAGACCTAGAAAAAGAGTTAACCTCCTAATCAGATGAGATAATCGCCGAACTTGTGCACGTGCAAGTTCACATTACAGTCGCTTCTGTCAATAGAAATTTGTTAACCTATTTATTGAGATGATCAGGAGACATGAATTCTGCTGCGATTGATTGTAAAACGCCACCAGTGGTTTGCGCAATAATGCTATTGATTGATTCGCAAGGCTCCTGCAGGGAGTACTTCACTTTCGGCGATATGTATTTTTTTTTGTACATCTCGTTAAACTCTGAACCACCTTTTCTCAACCTGTGGGTTGTGAAAAATTTTTGTTCGTGAGCTTTTTTCAACAATAGGCATAGCATCATAAATTGAAAGTCATTGGCTTGATG